GGGTTTGTAAAAACCTCAGCAGTAGCACGGAGTCTGGAAATGTGCCCGGTATATGGCAATAGGCTCACCCCCTATTACATGGGACTGATAACATAAATAGTGAAAAGTGGGCGTACAGTGTGGCATTAAGTGCCGTAATGTGCACCTCTGCCTACCCCTTCGGGGATAAAAGGCGTGATGTTATGTTATGTTATGATTTCCTATTAAAATTAGTGATGAATGTGTTGATTCGGTTATTTGTATTATTGATTTATATTAGCCGTCTAATGCATACATTTCGTAATGTTCTAATACTAACATGTAATAAAATTATACCAGAAAACTTATACATAACATCATAGGTAACCTTCTTAACTTTTACATTGTGCATCCCTAAGGTCGTATCGCTCATTTGGTGCAACAATGGCGTAATTACACTTTAACAATTTTTAAAGGAGAGCCGATTAAAGATTTGTATTCGATGTATGGCATTTTGGGGAGACTCATTATAATCTGAATCATTTTAAAAGTAAGTTTCATTTGTGTTGATTCTATTAGAGCCCCAATGGTTTCCGTGCATTATGTATTACCTAAATTACAGGCATAAATAAAATGACGTGTATGTAAATACGTCACTGTTTCTTCAGAATTCAATTTAAGAAATATTGCATGCGCTATGGGATTTTACATTTGTGACAAAATTAAAACTAAATAGATTAATAAATCAACGTCAATATTTATTTATGTATGTTTAAAATCAGTTCAAAAGGTAGGTAGGTAATTTCTATTCTACCAGGTACTTATTGAAATATTTAAAACAGCTAACACCTTAAAACAACGAAATTCTTAGTCATTAAAATCACAATGTGTAGGACGTAATGGCACTAAAATCACAGCTTAATTGCTTAGGTATCTACTTTTATCTTATAATCTACTATTAACGAATAATATGAAATTATAATAATAAAGGAGTAAAATATATTAAAAAATACTATCGTAAAAGGTGGAGTAATACCGAGGAATAATGTTTTTCTGTAAGAGCTCTTTTAAATCATTTTTCTTTTTGACAGGAATATCTCTTCTTGAATTATATACCGGCGTCACAATTATATCACGTATGTCTCTAGTTATTCTTTGGCTTGTAGATCTTTGGCTCTTTTTTTTAATTTCAGCTTCAATCCAGTTATCGTCATACTTAAGTTTATACCTGTATACTGCATCATTATCTTTTCTGAATTCTATTGCCCTTATATCCGAAGTTTTTATCGTATTCCCTTCCACATCTTTGAAAGTGTTAAGTTCAATCTCGTCCGTTAATTTTTTGACGTCATAAAAATCATCGAAATTTAGTTCTTCAACAATAAATTGGTTACCTTTTTTCTTTGCAGACCTTATTATTTGGACATACTGATCTGGCACGTAAATAGCACCAGATTTTTTAGCTTTCTTTATAGCCTTTTCAATTATAGAGTGAGCAGTATCGCCTTCATTTTGTGTATGACCTCTAATTAAAAATTTATGTGTAATTTTATTGACGGCAAGAGTTTTGACGGCATACAAATACAAAGAAAATATAAATCTGAAAAATAAATAAATATAATTATTATAATTAAGACACGACACATTTACCACTGAAAAATATACGATAATAAATATAATACAAACCTGTTCTTTTGTTGACCACCACAATTGTCAGTATAAAATGTTAAGTTACTGCCAGGATGATTAACAGCTAGTTGTTGTAGGTATTTCAAAATACAGGAACCGATTTCCGTTGCTCCTCTACTTCCCATAGCTTCATGCCAAAAGTAACAATAAGTTTGGTCTTCTTTTATATCTGTCACCTATAAAACAAGAATGTTATAAAACTCGTTGTGAGGCACGAAATAATATTTCGAATAATAGCAGATACATACTGTCAAGTTGAAACAGTTCAATTTAGACTTATAATAAAAAGATGACGACTCGCCAACTGGCACCGGCATAACTGCTTGAAGATCATAAATTGCGACTATCTCATTACTGTCCCTATTTCTACTTAATTCTATGTCAGTCTTCTTTTCCATTCGACTAAGTAGTTTCTGCCGGCAATGTTCTGTATAGTTAGATTCTAGTTTCTCTTTATCCTCTCCAACAGCATTTTTATATTGTTCACAGACATCACATTGGTCTTTTTTTGGAGTAAAAAAAGAAATATTAAACTCGGTATTAAATGTGCGAAAGTATGAATCGTAAGTTGCAGCCTCTTTGTTTTCTAATTCCCTTATTCTTTTATAGTCACGATGTAGATCAGCAATACTTAAGCCACCATCAATAAATTCTCTATTAGTATTGGCACGGAGATAGTGACTCTCAATTCTACTTATTGAATTAATATGAATTCGAACAGACTCTTGTACCTCAGAACAGGTTTTTTTATGATTTTCATGACGACCACGTTTGTCAATTGGTGCTACTCCGTTGGAATCAATATTGGTCTTAGCTTCAACGACTGTACGTAAAGTACGTTCTGAAATACCCAAGGTATTCAACAAAAATAATTTGCATACTCTAACACTCCTACCGCTAGATATTAAAGAATAGGAAGTATTCGGTCTTTTGTTTTTTTCTACATTAGTTTTTAGACGCCTTTGTGCTAACTGAAGTACAGTTATTGCAGAATTCAAAAAATCACGTTGTCTTTGAAGCGAAGACAAATCCCAATACATTTTGAAAATCTCATATCTTTGGCCCTCTGCAATATGTTCCGAACATTTGTATCTGCATTTGTTGGAACAAGGAGGCTTCATCTCTTTTGCCGAAATGGTCTTGCCCGTCCTAGAAATATATTCCTGGCCTGAATTCTTTAACTGAGCACGTTTATTTTTCTTCCAAGACAATGGGTTTCTTTGCCTTTTTTTGGTTTCATAGGAGGTGATGCTCGGCTTAGATCCATGTCATTAGGTTCATCGTTTTGAATATTATTGGTAACTGAAATTTCTGCTGGTGAATCCTGAAAATGATTATTATTTACAGCACTGGAATGGTTTTCTTCATTTGGAATAAAAGGTTGATTCTGCGACAAAATTGAATCACTGTGCCGTGAGGTGTTCCCAGAAGATGTAGAACTTGATGAGGAACAAGAGCTCGATGACGAGGAAGAAGAACTCGATGATGAGGAAGAAGAACTCGATGACGATCTCTGTCTTATTTTCATTATTGGGCGTTTAGCTTTTTCAGGGCGGTATTCATCTCCACTGTCGTCTGGAGAAAAATCTTCTTCATTTTCATTCATTGGCGGTATATTACAAGTTGGTGAATGAGTTTTGGCAACCTCATTTGGTGAAATAGGAGATGGAACCGCAGTTTGGTCAACGGAAGTTGGTGAATCGGGTGTTTTGTCAACAGAAGTTGATGGAATAGGTGTAGGAAAGCTTGATCCACCCATGTCTAAGTCAGGTAAATTGTGTTCTGGTGTATTATTTATTTTAATTAATTTATTTTTCGATATGAATATATCTGTAACAATGATATTAATGTTTAAAAAAATATAGTAATGACCTCGTTCTAGGCAAAGGACTCATCCCACTGAGATATTAGGTATAAGTACAGTGAGGAGGTAAACATTCGATATAATTTTATATAATTCGTAATAAATATTCAGAAATTCCCTTAGCATATGGAAATAAGCAGGTAAAACCAAGAGCACAACTAATCAAAGTATAAATGTTAATTTACAGTACTTACCATCATTACATCGTTTCCTAACTTCTGGAGTATCGGGTACTATTGTACAACTATTCACCATTCTTCTTGCACGGTTATCCATCTTGAATAATATTATTGTCTGAAACTTTATGTACTTACAGTTAATCTTATAGGTATTAACTATGACAGACACTATTAAATTCGAAAAGTTCTGTTATAATACCCGTAGAACTATTCAATCATCTGCCTTATCGAGTGGTCAGTGGCCAATCTGTGTCAGAATTTTTCAGATCACTCCATATATATTAGGTTCTGACATTATCTCACGACTGCTATGAAGATAATAACAACTGAAACCGAATTTTTACGCGCCCGTACCAAGGAGATGCTCAAATGATATACCACTACACGGCCACGTATCAATGGTATGACCGCGCCCTGGTAGCTTAACCTCACTTATCTTTTGCCGGTCAGTGAGTGCACCTGGCTATAAACGCCGTTACATCAATATTTCTACGGGTATTACAATAGTACAATTAAATATACAATAATACTTTGTCTATGTCTAAAATACATAAGTTCATTAATTGGAGCGTTAACGACATAATTACACAATTATGACATCTTTTCTACAGTTTAATAATTAATCTGGAGGAAAAACGACGTATTTACTTCTATTTGTCATTAAACAATCAACAAATATTATGTTTGGAACTACAATGACATATTTACGTAATTATGTCGTTGTTTCTCCAAAAAATATCATATTCAATGTCATAATTACCTTTACGACGTTGTAGCTCCCAAACACAAACACACTCAGCGGGGCGCCCCGCGCAAATGGCCGTTCAGTCGTTGTAGAATCAGAAATGGCGCCATTTCGTTCAATTCAACAACGACACTAGCGCCGTCTCGCGGCAAATCTCCAAAAAACATTTCGGTCGATGTTTCTCCGGGTGTAAATAGACTTTTCGAACATAATGACATTATAACTTTAATTTACAAAAAAATGTAATTACGACGTTGTTGCACCAAATGAGCGGTATAGTGACCTTTAGAAGCTTTCACAAATACACCAATGCTTGATTTGGGCATGTCATTAAAAGTTTTCATATTTCTATTATTTTTACATAGGTAAAGTATTCTATAAACCACTTGCTGTACCCGCAACTTAGTCTTCTAAAATAAAAGCAGCCTATGTTACTCTTAGTACATCAGCTACCTGCCAATAAAAGTCCCGTCAAAATCAGTCCATTGTATTGAGTGTGTTCTCAGATTTAGAACGCACAGTTAATTTAAATTAGGTTGATAAGGTTGGGTTTTCAGAAATCGTTTTATATTGTACAAAAAGTGTTCGTCGTGTGGGTCGTGTCAGTCGTGTCTATCGTGTCGGTCGTATCTGTCGCGTCGGTCGTGTCAGTCGTGTCTGTCGTGTCGGTCGTGTCGGTCGTGTCAGTCGTGTCTGTCGTGTCGGTCGTATCTGTCGTATCTGTCGTATCTGTCGTGTCGATCGTGTCGGTCGTATCTGTCGATTCGCTCGTGTCTGTCGTATCGGTCGTATCTGTCGTGTCAGTCGTGTCTGTCGTGTCTGTCGTATCGGTCGTATCTGTCGTGTCAGTCGTGTCAGTCGTGTCTGTCGTGTCGGTCGTAACTGTCGTGTCGCTCGTGTCGGTCGTATCTGTCGATTCGCTCGTGTCTGTCGTATCGGTCGTATCTGTCGTGTCAGTCGTGTCTGTCGTGTCTGTCGTATCGGTCGTATCTGTCGTGTCAGTCGTGTCAGTCGTGTCTGTCGTGTCGGTCGTATCTGTCGTGTCGCTCGTGTCGGTCGTATCTGTCGATTCGCTCGTGTCTGTCGTATCGGTCGTATCTGTCGTGTAAGTCGTGTCTGTCGTGTCTGTCGTATCGGTCGTATCTGTCGTGTCAGTCGTGTCAGTCGTGTCTGTCGTGTCGGTCGTATCTGTCGTGTCGCTCGTGTCTGTCGTGTCAGTCGCGTCTGTCGTATCGGTCGTATCTGTCGTGTCGGTTGTATCTGTCGTGTCGGTCGTATCTGTAGTGTCGCTCGTGTCTGTCGTGTCAGTCGCGTCTGTCGTATCGGTCGTATCTGCCGTGTCGGTTGTATCTGTCGTGTCGGTCGTGTCGGTCGTATCTGTCGATTCGCTCGTGTCTGTCGTATCGGTCGTATCTGTCGTGTCAGTCGTGTCTGTCGTGTCTGTCGTATCGGTCGTATCTGTCGTGTCAGTCGTGTCAGTCGTGTCTGTCGTGTCGGTCGTATCTGTCGTGTCGCTCGTGTCTGTCGTGTCAGTCGCGTCTGTCGTATCGGTCGTATCTGCCGTGTCGGTTGTATCTGTCGTGTCGGTCGTGTCGGTCGTATCTGTCGATTCGCTCGTGTCTGTCGTATCGGTCGTATCTGTCGTGTCAGTCGTGTCTGTCGTGTCTGTCGTATCGGTCGTATCTGTCGTGTCAGTCGTGTCAGTCGTGTCTGTCGTGTCGGTCGTATCTGTCGTGTCGCTCGTGTCTGTCGTGTCAGTCGCGTCTGTCGTATCGGTCGTATCTGTCGTGTCGGTTGTATCTGTCGTGTCGGTCGTATCTGTCGTGTCGGTCGTGTCAGTCGTGTCTGTCGTATGTGTCAGTCGTGTCAGTCATGTCAGTCGTTTCGGTCGCGTCAGTCGTTTTGGTCGCGGTTGATGTAGAGAGTTTTTACACGGGATTTGACACATAGTTCCCGTTATACTGGGTTTTTTGGGCTTTTACTCTGGTAATAAATATAATAATGCCTGGTAATAATGAACGCTGGCGCGATGGTGGTGATGAAAAAGATATTATAGCATAACATACGATATAGTGGACTTTTCCGTTGATATTAATGTCTTCTATAAGACTCTAACACATCATTTTGATCTAATGTCAATAGTTTCCATAGCGTAAACAATATTTATCACACGGTCGGGTTACGTTATCGAAATTTTCAAACGTTTCAATTTTTCTCTCATTAAATATTATATATTCATCAGTAATAATGTAAAATTCGAACGGCAAAAGAATTTATCCAATCGGTCCGATTACTTTACAGCTTATTTAATTCAAAAAAACAAATTAGTGTATATTCTTAGTAATTACTTCTATATTTATAACAAATACGAGTATCTTTATACAGACATCCACACACCCATCTGCATCCATACACAAGCCCTCGAAACAAAAGTTAATATTGTTCAACCGAATGTATTATTAGATAATTTAATAACAACAACAAAGGAAGCGAGCCGTCACAGTGATGCGTCGTATCAAATCGCGCTGACATTCAAGTTCAAACGATATCGCTGCATACATGACCTTAGTACATACACTGGCAGATCAAGATACCCCTGTCTTTCAAATGTCCTCATTACATTTTCAACTTTAGTTATTGTGATGTACAGACGAAAATCTAATGAAAGAAATTGACACTTTGTAGTGGGTAGATCTGCTAGCGTCTGTACCATGGAGACTCGAAGGTTACTCGCTTTAAAGTCGAGTTTGACGTATGTACACTTTGAAGTCATAAATCAGATGGACAGAAGTCAAGTGGTATTGGGAAACTTTTGGTATGGTATGTTTCGAGTTTTTGGTCTGAGAAAAAACTGATGTTGTTATATACTTTTCTGTGTCTTGTTACATCGTATACAAACAATAATTATGTCAAAGAGACATCACATTTAATTTTTCTTTATCTGTCTTGCAGTCTTTTTGGATCTTTGTAGGTAATAGTGATGTAACGAATATTCGCATTCGCATTCGCATTCGCGAATATTCGCAATTTTTTGCATATTCGCATTCGCATTCGCAAAATGTTTTGCGAATATGTACTTCTTAGAAAAAAACTATTTTTAAAATAATGGTAGGCTAAAAAAATCAAAATCCATTCGTTGGAAACATCGGCAGAACTTAACTCTTTAGTTAGTTCATCAAATGGTCTGAGTACACCGGAAAGCTTTTCTATAATCATATACTCTAAAATAGACCCTGCGTTCCGATACGCGCTGAAAACGGCGACAAGTATTGGCTAGTCTGATTCGAAATGAGCCTATAACGGAACGTACCTCGTTCAGTACAAGCCTGCCACCAAACCATACAAATGGCGCCAAATTTGAACACAAACTGAATATTCGCATCCGCATTCGCATTCGCGAATGTCGATATCAGATATTCGCATTCGCATTCGCATTCGCGAATGTTCAAAAACACACATTCGTTACATCACTAGTAGGTAAGACTGTTGCTAAGCTAGGAACTTACATCAGAAGACCAATACATTTTATTACATTTTTAACGTGAGTACATTATCAAAAACGAGGGATTACAATTTTATCTGTTTATAAATATTTTCTCGATCAAATAGAGTCCAATAGTACCTAACTAAATAAACAAAGAAATTGAGCTAGAATACAAAATTAAATTGAATATTAACTTGTCACTGGCCGCCTACAACTAAAACAAAGTAACGGACATTCTTAGGAATTACTTCATTGACTTTCATTGTGAGATACCACCGTATCAAATAATAGAAGTGTGCGTTGTGAATTTCTACGTCTTTTTTTTTAAGGGGGGAAAATCATCGAATGACTGTTCCCGCCTGAGTGAGGCAGAAGGGAGTGTCAGACTCTTACTGACTAAAAACCACCCCGTTCCTTCTCCTACACGTCGAGCCGGAGCCCCGGTTACCCGTTAGGTTCTCCGCGACTCCGAATCGGCAACAGCCCTATTGGGCCCCATCTGTGGTGGTCTGATGGCTCTTTGAGGCGCGCGCGGAACGCGACGCGCCGTACGCTCGGGAATTTCTACGTCTAACCGGCAACTACGAGATCTCAGTCTAAAAAAAACATTTAACTGCTGCTACAACAGTTACGATGTCCACGGAGAAAGTAGAAGCGATGACAAAATGCATTCTGCTCTACCCCAGTCAGGTTATTTGTTACCGTCCTAAAAAAAAATTGTTTACCTTTGCATGATGACATTACTTGTTAATTGTTTACCTAAGAGTAATTTGCTTAATTTAATTGATTTAGCATTTACATTGATATTTAATTACTTTCTCTTTTATTTATTCGCAATTTGTTCCCACAGACATACTTATATAAATAACTTTTTGATGTTTAATTTTCTGCATTGTACTTTTCGTGTTGTTCATTAGTTATCTATATCTATCTATTTATATAAATAAAAATGAATTTCCGTTCGCTAGTTTCGCTAAAACACGAGAACAGCTGAACTGATTTGGCTTGAAATATTTGTGGAAGTCCAAGGAAGGTTTAAAAGGTGAGAAAAACAATTTAGGCAGTACGAATCTGGTGGGGTCAGGATCAGGGGATTATGAACCAACTAGCTGACTAGTTAGTTCATAATTTTATTATTCTAGCTGACTAGTTAGTTCATAATTTTTACTAAAATTAAGGTAAGACGTGTATCAAATATCTGTTACTTACTTTGTATTATTGCTCGCAGATTCTAAAATCCAAAGAGAATCCAAGAAGAAGAAAAGATATTCAACCTGGAAAATTGGAAACCGAACTTTTAACCTTACACCGCCACTCAAGGATAAAAACAGCCCCAATAACATTAAACGGCCTATAACCCTAACCATTCATGGTCTCATGAACCACAAACTGACGTAATGAACAAATACAAAAGAAGCTTGTTAGTTCTAAAACACTCCTTACAAGTATATAGAGCAGTTCACTTCCCAGATCTATAAATGGATCACGCATTATACTCATTCCTTCTACGTCCACACGCGCACTCTGCAATTGTGTATTTAAACTCGAGTTTATTTTAGACTGCACTTTAATCATAAAGTTCAATAAATTATATCTAATTATATTATAGTTTCGTATACTTGAGTTGACAGGTTTGATCTACAAATAATGTTCGGATCAGTGAACGATTTTGAATTATTTATGAAATTAATATTTAACACATCTGTAACTTATGTTATAAGGCCCGTGCTAGTAAACCATTAGCTTAAAACCGAGTCACAAATTTTAGATCACCATCAGTCATCCAAACTCGAAAAACTATCAATGGCCGTTTCTATTAAAAAGTTTAACTAAAATGCCAAAAAACACGTGTAGCAGTACCAAAGATGACATCCATATTGATACTCAGATAACTGGAGAAAATAATACACCTTCCTCAAAGCTATAATGGTTTGATACAAAACCTATACAGAACATCGATTGGAATAGAATCTTCGATGTGACTAAACGACATCGTGACACCGCTCTTACTCTATTTGTTGAAGGCGTATAGTTTAGGTGCATTAGGTTGAAGTGGGCGCATACTGTTCTCACGAGCTCTCGATTGTTCCACAACCTCTTAACTATCGGGCTATCGGGCCACGACCCTAAGTTATACAATAAAAACTGATGCTCTCGAGCTAAACATGGGGGTTCCTGACGTGTGTTTTGATTCAAGATGCGCAACATTAATCATAAAATCAGAAAAACTATAATTATGTTACGATGACTTCAAAAAATCAAGTCATGTTGGATTTTGATTCTATGAGTCCAATATTCAACATTCTCTTTAGTAATGACGTTTTATCGGATTCTATCGTGGGGTTGTCAATGGAACTTCATAAAATCTCTTTGAAGTCCAATTACATAAGACTTATGCAATTTCGATAACGTATTATATGATGTTAATTTCGCCTTTTCGTTTTCCTTATATTATTATACTACGTAATTGTCGCTTGTCTCGGGATTTGACATGTACTCATAGTGAATCAAGACAATTGCGGTTTTAATCGCTATGTTCATAATTATTTTGTTCATGTTCATAACTTTATTTATTTTCCAACTCAAATTGTTTATTATTTTTGTTTATAACTAAGTTAGTAGTGCGCAAAATGAATGTTAATATAAAATCAATTACGACCACCTGCTTACACCTTGAGATGATATTATTTATAAAATTATAGACAAGAAAATACACAGTAAAAACAGTAAATAATCAATATACGTAATAAAAAGCGGCTACTAGGGGATATGGGAGTCTATTACGGAGATTGCAATGTGCGAGGCAAAGCTCCGTTGATTGACAAGTGTAGTCCACCCACTGTGTTGGTGGCCGATGGAACAAAACTGAACTTTTTTCTTTTCCAACCTTGATTCACCTTCACAACCCTTCATTTGGAGGCGGTTAAAAACTCACTGATTGCGACTGCTCGTTTACTTTCTTTATTCTCGAAAACTTTATAAAAATATAGTTAATTAATCTCGAAAATCCAGAGGGAATTTTTGTTCTTTGTTGTCTTTTAAAGTTGAGAATTTAATTTAATCAGAATTCAATTGTCTTTTTCAGAAAAATGTATTTGAGGTCATTTTTCAAACGATACATTGCCGAATACTACGAATTTCTAAGTAATAATTTTGAGTACATTTCCAGACTTTACTGAACCTAGAGAGCAGAGGTGAGCCCTTTGTCAGACATTGACTGACTGACAAACAGTATTTAATAAAACTTCTAATTTCATGTTGAAACATAAAACCACATTTTTTTATTTTATTTAAAAAAAATCGTTGCCTCACACTAGGATTTTCTCCTATGTCGTGGGTACGTTTAAATATGGCAGTCGGTCCCGAATCAATAATTTATGGATCACACAAAGAGCTTCTCTGTACGGGAATCAAAGCCGCTACACGAATTGCGGCTGCCGATTGCCCAGCCTCCGCACCAACCGTTCAAGTCAAATTAAAAAATCATAATAATCAAGTTAGGATTCAAGATAAAGACAACAAAAACCTGATACAACAATTAAACAACCGATAGGTTATAAAGCAAGTCAGTAACCGACCACCACTACTGCTGCCCATCAAAATGATGTAACTTCTCTAACTCGAACGTAATTTGTGCTCACAATAACTTGACCTCACCATTTACATTTGTTCGTAACGGGATACCTTAATAACCGATATGAAGTCTCTAGTTATAGTTATATCGTACCACTTTTTCTGTTAGACGATTTTCACTCATTTTGCGTCCCGTTAGAACCCACAATAATCTATTCGCGATCCAATTTCTTTTTAAATTCAGCCATCATACTTGATTTTTAGTGTCTATATAGTATTTACGCTCTATAATTGAATTCAGTGGAAATTATCGACGTTTCTCTCTTTTGTTTTACTGCCCCGTTAAATGAGATACGATTTGGTACATTATCGTAAAATTGAATGTAAATATAAAATATTATTCTTGATAAAAGGGTTGGTTTCGATGAAATCGTGGATATATAATATGCGACGTATTTTACAACAAAATATACGAAAATAAATTAACAAAAAGTAGGTACTATAGAAAACGAAATCAGATTCAGAAATTGATCTCAAGATCTTATTATGAACAACACTCGCAATTACTTAAAAAGCGAGAGTGTGAATAATTAAATTACAAATTAAAGATTAACACAATATTTCCCAAACATCATAAGTATCAGCTAGCAATCAAATAGAAAGTAACTACACATATGTAAGTAGAAATATTCGTTTGTATCGTGACCAGTAAAACAAATTACATGTTGTTCCAAAAATTGGTCACCGACTCTTACACTATGTTATGAAATGTATTACGTCACTTGAGTACAATAACATCAATGGAATCATTTGTGAGAGACTGCAGAGCATAATCTGATTTGTTTTGGACATTTGTAGCGACTGCAAGATTGACAAATGTTGTGGGAAACGAGTTTTGCACTTTCTAATGAGTTAGCTGCTATTGTTTTGTTGATGTTTGCAGTAATTTTTGCATGATGAAGACGTCCGTTGGCCTTTTATAATCGTGGTATCATATCTGATAAGATTTTTCTCAAGTATTTTTTAAGGATTTTCGGGGAGCTTAGATTTAGATTGTTACAAGCAATAGTCAATTACTATTGATCAATGTTCAAAGTTTAATAAAACAAATCTCAAGCTTTCAATCAATGACAATGCCTTGTAAATATGTACCAAACAAGCTTATTAAATCATATTCCAAACTACAATTCAACTTTTGCAATTATGACCACTGTTACTTTAGAAATTAAAGCTAGAATTCTCTGAGGAAATTTAAAAATGAAATTGCAGTTTACTGCTTTTTATAAGAAGTAGCAGCTGGCTTTAGAATTTTACCGATATTGTTGGTATAACAATAGACAGAACAAAGTAATTGAGAACAGCAAGCGCGGTGGCATTGAAATTATATTTATTGGTCTAGACTAAACATTATTTCACTTGGGTGAACTTTAAAATATCTATTTTGTTTTAGTACTTTTAAAGTTGCGATTTATCTAATAAATATCCTATTTTTGTATGCTAGTGTCAAACATTCAAACAGAGCCTGTTTGCCTGAGAAGGATGAAGAATGAAGTTATCTAAAGTGATTTTATTTATAGACTAGCTAAAAACTATTCGGTTGTCAGCTTAAAACTGGAACAGTGCTTGTTCTGATGCAACCAGTTGTGAACTTAATCCTTTTTTCTTGGCCTAGAAGACTTTGAATTAGATTGACATTTATGGAATAAAAGAATCATGGAGTTTCCTATACATATGATATGGAGACTTAACTTGGTGTTGAGAAGAATGAAGTCATTAAGATAATGGAATCTAAGATGGATCATTCAATGGGAACGGTAATAACTGGGAAGATGTGGGAGTTCTATGTGCCTCTGCCTACACCTCCAAAACAGGCGTGACATTTTACTTAAAGCTCGTTATAAGTTTCAACATAATAAACGTTATGAAACTAGATCGTTATGTGGATCGATTTTTAGCCGCCGGCTTTCGTTCAATGTTAACAGTAACTGATTAACAAGTAATTTTAAAATCGTTTCGACGACATAAAGCGTTGGTTCTTCAGTAAAAGAGGAGCAGTTTGTACGTCAATTATTTAGGCAAAATATATGTATTATTTTTTTGGATTTTTATTCAGTTTACATTAGTATTTCGAACTTCTCAGTTAATAAATGAGCAGAAGTTAAGAAGTTGCTTCTTGAATAGGAACAGTTTGTTGATACTAAAATGGCTGTTAAATTTTAACTCACACGTATTCGATTCGATATATTCATAATTTGTTGAACGACGGGCCGTGAGTACCTAAATCTCGTGCTTAGTCTGAATTTACCAGACCAAACGCATTATATCTATGCGGGTTCATACTGAGATACTCGATTCAAACACTCTCCCTAACATAATGATGTAACCTAGATTTGATCTGCGTTAGACCCATCTATCACAAATGGTTAGGATTACTTACCTTCACATTTAAGGTTACTATGTCCATCATAAATAGTCATTATGATAGGAATTTTCTAGTAACTGTGCTGTTGTTTTCACATGATCTTAGGTAGATGCTTATGTTCTATTTTATTAAATCTTTCATGACATAGACATAACATCACGCCTTTTATCCCCACAGAAAGCAGAGGTGCACATTACGGCACTTAATGGCACTGTACAATGTTATAGCTTTTTTTCACAATTTACGTTATGAGTCTCATGTAACAGGGGTGAGCCTATTGCCATATACCGGTCACAATTTCAGACTCAGTGCTACTACGGTTTTTTTTACAAAACTCAGTAGTACTTTGGCCGACCCGGGAATCAAATCCGAGACCTCTTGCCCGGCAGTCGCATTTGCGACGACTCTGCCAATAAGGCTGTCAATAAATCAGTAAATCTTTCATTATAGGTAATAATAATATTATCATCAATATCGCTATCAGTGACACCAGATCCTTATAGAACACAACAAATATTACTTTTATGTTGATTTTACGACACGATACAATTTTAAATATACCAACCAGCTCGTAACGTTTGACGATCGTTTCCTGGGGCATCGGTAATAAATCAATAAACTGGTTCACATCGCTATGCAGTCCGTTGTTTATAAACAGTTACTGTCCATACGTACATAAATATTCAAGGAAATCGTCTTTTGCAAAATGCTTGCTGTAATAAATTTTGTTACGCAATAAATACTTAGATATTTGATTTTTACATATGTTGGTCTACCTAAGTTTAAGTTTGTGGTAGCAAATTAGGGTTAAATTTTTCAAGGTTATTTTTTTTGCTGTGATATTATAGGTAATGTTTTTATATCTTTAGGGTAAAGACGTTTAACCAAAACGGTTTTTGTTCGATGAATTAAGACTGATCGACTTCCTTATTGCAGTTTTTAATGTATTCGAACGAGTTCTAAGTTTGGAAGCCAAAATGCTTTTATGTTTTTCGTTACAGGACGCTAAAGTTTGAGAAATTCTGGTCTATTAAAACAAGTGATATAAAATAAAATAAATAATCTTTATTGAAGATAAAATGAGCAAAATACAAAATACTATCTTAATAAGCGATATAGACATTTGCAAATTTTATTATTCTTAATATCAACTTCATATTTTTTATGTTTATTATTTCTGCTCTTTATTATTTCTATGTTATGAGTAAAATCATTTGCATTACTGCCTGGTAGACTTTGTTTGATGGGATTGGGATGAAATATATTAGGCAGTTGCCTATTACTACTATTATAACTGGCTATCAGAACATTATTATCTTAAAAAAGTGGGTGTTATCACGCTGCCTACCTCTTCGGCGAAATGATCTCGTTGTCAGCAATATTTAGATAGTAGGCATGCAGGCCTGGCAGCCTACGGCTACTATCAGCTTCTGTATATGTAGGCAGTAACAATTTTCTTTAATTAATCGACTATCATAAAGTGCGTAGGACGATACAATAACAATATAATGACTGTGAGTTTTTACAAGCATTTGTGTAATACTAAATAGTAGTATGGAGTGGGATTTATTAAGAGATTAATGTCTTTTTAAGTTTATAACTATGGAGATAGCATGATGATGTTTTTTATTGCATAAGCCGGTAAACGAGTAGACGGATCACCCGATGGTAAGCAATCGTCGCCGCTTATGGACACCCGAAACACTAGAGGCATAACAAGTGCGATGCCGACTTCTTAGAGGTTAGGAACTTGATGATTGTTGGAGATGGCCTGCTATACGTATCAACTGCTTACTTGACCATTTAACCAATGACTGGGATACATGGTTCTATCTAGTATAATTATTGACGCATCTTTGAAGAGGGTTTCTTCTCTTCTTTGAATATCATCCAATGTGATGTTTCTTACTTGGTAACAGATGTGTTGCTACATAATGGTAATTATATGCTTTATTGTACGAAAGATTCACTTCTTAATTGGACATATTTACAGTTACAAAATTCTAATACTTGCAAGAATGTCATTTCCAACACGCAGGATTTATTCACATGTTTTCTTTATTAATGAAGACATTTGACACCGGCCAAGCAATTATCAAGTACTAATTACATATCTCATTCGTTTATCTAAGTTTATTCAAAGTATACGGTTGACCGCATTTTTATTTCACAACTGACAAGATTTATATTCTTTGAGGGTCATTTGTACTAGATATTATAATATAGATTGTCCTCTCTATTAAAGGACAGATTAGAATGGCATTAATTATTTTATGATTACTACTTTTATAGAATATTGAATATATATTTCGTCGTGTGAGTGAGGTTACCGGAGGCCCAACTACTTTAGTCTCCCAAGTCCCTGTATCCTCCATAATCTTTAAATTCCCAATTCCCAAAAGGCCGATAACACACTTGTAACGCCTTGGTGTTTCGGGTGTCCATGGGCGACGCAGATTGCTTACCATCAGGTGATCCGTCAGCTCGTTTACCGGCTTATGGTATAAATAAAAAAAATATATATATTTCAAGTACACTGGAACAATTTGTAAATTATATTCCAGTAGGATCTAGTCTTTGTTACATTTTTATTATATCGCTATAAGGCTAGACCTACTACGAAGCATATTATGTACTACTGAGAACTGGGAAATTGGAACATGTCTGGTTTTCACTCCATTGGAATTGGATTTTATGATTGCTACATCAATAATATAGTTTTATTCTAAAAGTAGGCATAAAATAATAATACACAATCTCGGTATGTAATTTCCAATCAAATATATTTTTGAATATCAATGCCATAAATTATTACATTTAATTAGGTTTTAATTTATATTTATATTTTGCAGAAACATATATTTTATAGTGTAAATCTGAATTATAAAAGATTAGAACGATTAGATACTACGTATGTATAAAAAGATTTTATTGAATAAAATTTAAACACAATTTATTTTAATTTCACACCCACGACTTTACATCCTATTAGTATAATTCTAGTTTATTGACACAAACAAAGACTAAATTATGATAAGTAATCTGGAAACATGTTTATGGAACCTGTCTCTTCTAATCTGTATAACATTTAATCAATTTAATACTGTAATTTATTTAATATTATATCAACATTGCTTTAGTCGTTTTCTCTATGTGTGTGACAATTTTGGCTGAGTAATCTTCCCATTTCAAAGGATCGTCGGCACTATTCAAAATTAATGTAAATAATAATAAAATTGTTTTTATAATACAGACATGCTGGATAAAACACAGACACTCCTCCTTATATTACGCAGCGTGAGCGGCCACTGCTGCTCATGAGACTATGACTCGAAACTAGTAGAGCTTTTTTCAGTATATTTACGTGAGGAACTCGTAATTTTTAGTCAACATTTGATAAAAAGTTTAATAAAAACTAATAATATTTAGTTTCTTTCAAACTCTAGTGACGTTTAAACCCAAACGAACAAATATTGTACTGATCTATTCGAGTCATCCTGAATAAAATCCAGGTGCGTGTGGTAAAGGTACTTTAAACCGGCGCATTTACGATACGTTTATCGCATTTACGGAACGGAGGAAATACAAAAAAAGTGAGTGAAGTAGTACCTATGAGACATCGCTCAAAACCGTGTATCTGTGTATATAACTTAGTTAAATGTTTCTGTTAGAACTCCTAGTGATCTACCATTGAAATCAAAGACGTCTGTCCACATTTGCTTTGAAGATTTAGTTTCCTATGCCTTTGTCAGATTGCAAACAACAGCTGTTAGGAATTCGGACTTTGTCACAGCGTTCCATGCGTATTTTGGTATAACAGATACTATGAACTGAATAGATTCGTGTTTAGATACTCATATTAGCAACTTGTACTATTCATATTTTTTATTAACGTTCAATTTGGTTTCAGTTATAAAAATAAATAATATAATATATTTTACGAGAAAATAATTGTTCTTATTAGCACAGCTGTAAATATAATAATAGTGTCAGATAAAAATGAAAAGTTGTCGTTTATAGGGTTACCCGTTAGTTGACACGACTTGCATTTTAAACTGCCATAAAAGTAAAAGTTTAATATTTGAAGATATGATAGTTAAGATAAAGATGCGATGCTATTTGATGGCACCTGCAGTTGTTTCGATGATGATGGAAAATCGACTCTAGAATTTCGTAGATAAGGTTCTGTATTCATTGTAGGTTAATGTTAAAGGTAATATTCTGATGTGGTAATCTGGTATGCCGAAGGTAAAGGGCTGCCTGCGTTACTCAGTCTGTGATGTGACTATTAAATATCAATATTTTATAAGAAGGGGCGAGTTATTTTAGATACTTATCAAAAGTATTAACACCTTGTTTGTTTATAATGTTGAGGCATTTTTTATTAATAAAAACGAATCTTTCGTTGCAGCATCTGCTCCGGATGCGATTGTGTTGGTAGATTAATGTGTGTTTTTTAATGTTATTGATGATTTACACTATGTGTTGAGACAAGATGTGATTTATCTTATTAATATAAAAAAGTTTTAATTAATAATTACCTAGCACGCAATATCTTTAGTACGAAATGCTTTTTCAGACATTAATGGTATGGTATGTAACCAAAAATTTTCGTGTTTTCGTATAAATATAATAAAGACTCATCTCTCCGCATTACTCCTTCTTTGTTTTGCTCTTTTCCAATAAACTTTTGGTGTCGGTCCTTAGCTATTTAACTGAGTTCATCAGAATCTACTGATTTAATTCATTTATTGTGTTATAGAATCTAGTATCTGTAGGATTGGTTATAAAATTACGTAGACATAATTTTCTATGAACACCATAACAATGACATAGAATCTAAAATTCTATTAAAGCATTTGAAACGTGTGTTTAGGATGTAGTTACTTCCATAGCACCACGTAGCACTAAATCTGTCACCAAGAACTGTCGTGTTCCGGCTTGAAGGATACAGGAGCTGGCATAATTACAAACACATGACGACATTTTACTTCGTTCTTATATTCTGCTCAAACAAAGAATGTCATGTCTTTTGTATTGTATTTCTCTTCTAAG